ATTTAATATTTAGATTAAACATTTAGATTTAATATTTAGATTTAACTATTATATATTAATTAATATTAATATTAATATATTTCTAAGTGAACAAATATTGCTGTAAATGTGGTAAAAGGTGACGTTAAAAAATTCACAACACTTTTTAAAATATTGTTTGAAGCTAAATGTGGCAAAATGTTTATTTTAAGCGTGAGACACTTTACAAACGGCACCCCATAGTAAAACACTTTGTAACTATGTTTTGAAAAGTGCTACAAATAAACTTATCATTATTATAAAATAAAGACACAAAGCGCACAAACCATTTCCGAATGTTTATTTTCAGAAATACAGTAACGGTAATAAAGAAGTGTTATGTCGCAGATTAAGAGATGTGTTGGTGCATTAGTCGCGGTCCCGTGGCATTGTGGGGTTACACTGCCTTCCTCCGTGCTCTCTTCCCATTATCTTTGGCGATGTGCGCAAATCAGAGCTCAGCTCGCGGCGCCTCGTGGAGCCCGCGTCTCCACATCGAGTGTCGCAGAGACTTTGTCTTCCTTCGTGCGCTCTTGCGATTATTTTTGAATATGTGCGCGTAATCGGAGCGCAGCTGCGGAGCTCCGTGGAGCCTTGCGGACACCTCCAGTACACCTCAGAGGGCGCAGATGCTTCGGCGTCTTTTGTGCGTTCTACTGAGGAGGAGCGCGTTGGAGTCATTCGGTGCGCGCGCTCGACTCCACACATCAAACTGCTGCGCTCACGCATTGTCGCGGGGTTCAGCAGTATCACAAAAAGTTTAAATATTTCTGTGATGTTCCTTACTTTAAAAAGTAAAACCCAGCTTCTCATTCTAACCACTCAGCAAAGTCAGGCTTCATCTGACTCTTCCAGTCCAGCTCCGTGTTCAATCCATTCAGCGCCAAACACCGACAGCAACATGACAGCACAGAGACACAGAGTGTGAAAGCAGCTGCTTGATGTCAAGTGAACACATCAAGTCTCTGTTCAGTCTGCCTCTGTGTGATTTCCTGAACCTGACTGCAGAGTAGATCCCTCCCACTGCACCTCACTGTGGGCTGGACTTCTTCTGTCACAACCAAAAATCTGCAGGAGGGCAGCAGTTGGATCTTCCACCGAAGATTCCAGAACAACTGATGCAACACCCTCCGTTCTTATTCCCTGTGTTGCAGGAATCCCCTTTTACATTTTTACCTTTTACAGCCTTCAAACACAGACACTGAGGTGTGAAAGCATTCACTTCATGTGGTGAATAAAATACATGAGGATGATGGCTTCCTTCGTGCGCAAATCAGAGCTCAGCTCGTGGAGCCCGCGTCTCCACATCCAAGTGCCGCAGAGACTTTGCCTTCCTTAGCGCGCTCTTGAGATTATTTTTGAATATGTGCGCGTAATCGGAGCGCAGCTGCGGAGCTCCGTGGAGCCTTGCAGACATCTCCAGTACACCTCAGAGAGCGCAGATGCTTCGGCGTCCTTGTTGCGTTCTACTGAGGAGGAGCGCGTTGGAGTCAATCGGTGCGCGCCCTCGACTCCACACATCAGTTTGATCTCAGTTTGCGCTCACGCATTGTCGCGGGGTTCAGCAGTAAGGTTTAGGAAACTCAGCAGAAACAGAGACATCAAGTGTCTGTGTATCAGTGCTGTCACGTCGCTGTCGGTGTTTGGGGATCATGAGCGTTTGTCTGGAAACACGGAGGCGGTTTGTACACACCACTGCGCACCTTCACACTTACCTGCGAGAGAGAAATGCCACAATAGAATAAGATAGATAGAAGTCGGGAGGAGGCTGTCTGCCTGAAGCAGCTGTGTTGACAGCCTCGTTGGAGCCGCGGAAGCCTCCGAAAACATCTCTACACAGCTGAGTCAGGGGGGTTCCCTGTCACCGGTCTAGTGATGAAGATCTTAGCCAGCCTCTGTCTGCCACGGAGAAGCACAACAACGAGGTCTGACTCTTCATATGCCAGCCTGACTTCAAACCGTGCAGCATAATCACGCAGAGACCGCAGTGCGTACCAGAACACAGAAACGAACCCTCTCATCATTTCAGCCGACATTAAATGAGCCTGAATTCTTGAGAATTTCCTCCGAATGGATGAGTGATGTTCAAATGCCGTGACCGTCAAGTGTGGACTATCCAGGATCCAGCTGCAGCTCCACCGATGATTCATTCAACTGGTATCAAACCGGTGCCTCCCTTTTTATGTGCGGATGTAAAATAGTCCCGCCCACTGTCCGCGGGAAGGGAGGTGCAGTGGGAAGGGAGATGGTGTGTGTGCACTTAACCCTTTCCTCCCTTTCCCCCTCTCCACTCCGCATGGAGAAACCGAGACTGAAGAGAACGGCTGCCCTGAACGAGCCCCAAGACCTTCTGATCCTGATCCTGAGGCAGTTGGTGATTGCGCCGAACACGACAACAACATGACAGCACAGAGATATAGTGTGTGAAGGCAGCCTGCTCTCATCATGCACGCTGTCTGTGCTGCAGTTCCGCTGTCGGTGGAGGTGGATTGTACCTCTAGGTTTCCTCCCCGACCTCCTCTGCGTTTGTCTCATTGTTTTGGGGGTCAGAAATGTGAAATCATCAGGAAATGTTTTTTTAGTGCAAGTTTTTTAATGTTCATTTTTCTAATAGCCTACATACAAACATAATGTGAAACATGAAAACACATCACAGTCAGTCAAAGAGAACAAACACAACAAAACAAATCAGAAA